CCGTCGAAGCCGCTGGAGTCAACATACATCCACACCTATCGCTGCCTCCGGATCCGGAAATAATTCCTCCTCACCGTTTAACAGGTGAGATTTGTTGAGAATGTTTACATACAGTGATTAAATCATGTGTTTTGGCTAGTGATTTTTAATCCTACAGCCATAATGATTTCCTTTCATTTTGTTCCGGTTTTTTTTTATGTTAATGCTTTAGGTTTGCCTGGAGCGCAGCTTCTAGTGCATTACTGAGTCTTCAGTTTCATTGAACAACACCTTCTTAAGAACTATTCGACTAGATTTAATACTAACTACTATTGAATTGACAAAGAATTAATTAATCTATTTCATGAGTTAATTATTTTGTAATCAGGAAAGATTAAGGAATTAAAGTTATGGTATAATTAATATGATCTAGGTTATCCTTAGTTTTTAGTTGGTTATGCTTATTGTAGATAGCACATGCATCTATATGTTTATATGGTCCATTTATTGGTTTTATTTTTCAAATTTATTTTGTTTTTGTCCTTGCTTGATACTATCCCTTTGCATTTAGGATCCTAAGGGTATATTGAATTATGAGACCACACATTGAGATATATATCAAATATACTCTTCTTTATTAGGCTTGGAACGCTTGAAAATTTCTTTAGTTTTTTTTTTCCCAACTTTATCTGTATCATTCGTGTGCATTTATCATATAATAACTGTCATTCCCACTGTGGTGGTTGGTAGATGTTTTATGTTAGCTCGAATTCTATTGGTTTTTCTACTAAGTGTATGTGCTACTCTCTTTTTTTTTGTTCATTCATGTATAGTTAGATGTAGAGGATTAAACGAGCAAGTTTCAGAATGCAGTTATTTATTTTGTTTTATTTTCTTTTTATTTTCATTTAAACATGAAGCTGCTTCGAAAATAATACATTTATGGTCTCGTGTTTCTTATGTTTCGACGCTAATATCTTTCCCACATTTCTTATGATATTTTATTTGCTTGATGAATATGCAGCACTTGGATAGTCTATCGGATGGCTGTGGCTGCTTCTGGACAGCTAAATCTTGATGAGTCCCCCTCTTGGGGTTCTCGTGGTGTGGATTGCTTTGAGAAATTGGAGCAGATTGGTGAAGGGACTTATGGGTTAGTTGTATAATCTCAAAGCTTTCTCATTTTTTGTATGCTTGTTCTTCTTCCTCTAGATTTGGATGAGAAATGTTTATTAATTCATCCATTGGCTGGTCATTGGATTTTATTTTTATTTAGAGGCATTTACTTACATACCTCACAATTCTTTTGCATTTACGCATCTAACTCCTAAACTTTAATATTTACATTCATAATGCTCAAATCTTTAACATCACATCAAAAATACCTTTGCTAACTTTTAAAAGTCAAATGTGCCTTAGAATGCATAGGCTTAGCACCAAGATGTTATAAATGTGAATTTCAAACTTTAGGTGTTAGATATGTAAACTCATAAGAATTGTGGGGTAGATATGTAGATTTCCCTTT